TTCCAACAAGCGGGACTGGCCTAGGGTAATTTTTAAGAGGGGTTTTTAGAGGAGTTTTTAATTATATTTTAAATTAGACAAGTTAAATATTTCATTTTAATTAATTTTAAATTTTGTGTTGTTATTGGTGTTTTTAATTGATTGTCAGCCGCCCTGAGTCCGCAAGGAGAAGGGCGGGATATAAATTCGAACAATAAATTACTATTTTGGCTCCTTCTGCTGAAGTCCTGCTAAATTTCTTTTCCAGGACTGAAGATCTGAGTCCAAGGAAGGGAAAGCGATGTCTGGAGGTAAATTACGACATTTACTGCCATGACAGAAAAATTTGATCTGCCAATGGCTGATTACAACCAGCCCAAGCTTCTTTATTGCAGCAACGGAGGTCAGTTCCTGAGAATCCTTCCAGATGGCAAAGTGGATGGCACAAGGGACCGGAACGACAATCACAGTAAGCTGCAACTATTGTTATTGTAGCTGTTATTTTTGATCCAAATAATAAGTTCAATGACTTTCTCTTAGAGGCTTTCAGCTTTGTGGCACTGCAAAAGATATGGAGGCATCTGCTGTGTGAAGACCAAATTCTGGCACAATCCATATAAAAACATATCATTCTGTCACTTAATAGGGGTAGAATAGCAATAGCAATAGCACTTAAGACTTATATACCGCTTCACAGTGCTTTATAGCCCTCTCTAAGCGGTTTACAGAGTCAGCCTATTGCCCCTAACGATCTGGGTCCTCATTTTACTGACCTTGGAAGGAGGGAAGGCTGAGTCAATCTTGAGCCGGTGAGAATCAAATTGCCGAACTGCAGGCAGTAGAAACAACATGCACAGACCTGTCCCTATCCCTATCCAGTTTGAGTGGTCCTGATACATTCTGGCTGATATAACAAAGCAGCATATTTATTTTAGAGCATTACCATAATAATAATAACAATAATAACAATAATAACAATAATAACAATAACAACAATAACAACAACAACAACAACAATAACAACAACAACAACAACAACAACAACAACAACAATAATAATAATAATAATAATAATAATAATAATAATAATAATAATAATAATAATAATAATAAAGTTGGAAGGGACCTTGGAGGTCATCTGGTCCAACCCCCTGCTCAGGCAGGAAATCCTGTACCATTTCAGACAAATGGCCGTCCAGTCTCTTCTTAAAAACTTCCAGTGTTGGAGCATTCACCACTTCTGGAGGAAGGTTGTTCCACTGATTAATTGTTCTAACTGTCATGAAGTTTCTCCTTAGTTCTAGGTTGCTTCTCTCCTTGATTAGTTTCCATCCGTTGCTTCTTGTCCTGCCTTCAGGCGCTTTGGAGAATAGCTTGACTCCCTCTTCTTTGTGGCAGCCCCTGAGATATTGGAACACTGCTATCATGTCCCCCCTCGTCCTTCTCTTTGTTAAACTAGACATACCCAATTCCAGCAGCCGTTCCTTATATGCTTTAGCCTCCAGTCCCCTAGTCATCTTTGTTGCTCTTCTCTGTACTCTTTCTAGAGTCTCAACATCTTTTTTACATCGTGGTGACCAAAACTGGATGCAGTAACATCCACATCCACGTACACTGAAGTCAAATCAGTTAAATAGTCAGAAGTAATCCATCCAAAGTCTGTTAGAGTTTTCAAGTGTGGTGTCAATTAATTAAATCATTAAACATAAATTGTAGTTGGGTATATCTAATACAAGCAGAGCCAGGAGACCTAGTTTCTATTTATAAAATTACATTGGGGAAAATTGGGGTGTAGATCAGGTCCTTCCTCTCTTCAAATTTACTGGATAGCTGAGTGGAACATCTATGAATCTTAGGAGGCTTTCATTCTGAAACTAGGATGCAAATTCTCCATTGGCCAAGCATTTAGCCATATGTATCAGGAGGGTCTCCTTGCCTCTTCCTCTTGCATGTATTCATTGATCATTGTCTGAACTCAGCTATAGATGGGTAAGAACTGCCATCTCATTTGCATTTGATTGATGCCAATTTGCCATGGACTCTGGGGAGAGGGTGTTGGATAGGAGGGGGAAAAGCTCACTACATACCATACCGGTACCTTCTGGAGACACAACCTCAATGTCAGAATCGCATGCAGCTGCATACCACCCAGCCCACAATTGGAGACTGTTCCCCAAACAATTCATTTAAATATGATTGGACAATGGGAGACCAGCAGTGGGAAGTAGCTCAAGGGGGTAAAGTTAAATTTGGAGATCTTGGTACCCAATTTTCAGTTCTGGCTTTGCTCTACTGAATTCTGCTTGACCTTTAGTAAATTATACCTTTTTCACCAAATGGAGTCAAGGATTGTTCTTACTTAAAGGTTCTAGCTAGCTGATGCAGGGCTGACACTACTTCAGTCTCCAAATATTCTCCTCTCCTTCTCTTAGTCAGAGAAAGGGTCGGATATGTTGTATCAGAATAACAAAGCTCCAAGTGAAGACCCATAATGAGATTTTATGCAAAATTGCTTGCTGGCAATATCTTCTGAAAGAGAGTGCCATTATTTTTTTTAACATTTCCCCACCCTGAGTATATTCAATTAATTCATCCAAATAGGAGGAAATATTATTCCATGCTATTACATAGCACTTACCAACAGTTTACAAAGGCTGTTTTTAAATATGGGCAGATGTGGATCCATGACAGTCATGAATCCCCTTTAATGTCTAACTGGTCCCTTAGTTATTTTTAACAGATTTATAATTTGGAGGGGGGAAAGCTCTCCACAGTCTTATACATAATGTTTGTCAGAATTACACTGTTGCACCCCTGTTCATTTGGACTAAATCCATTGACAGTTGCCTGTATGCCTTTAACCACATCTATTATTACAGTGTCAACCCACAAATGTATTGAAAATAGTGCCACACAGTGTGCAAAGTGGTGAAGAAATGGCACCCCTGAGCTAAGTTGAATCATGGGGAGGGGATGACAAATATCATTCAGTCTGAGAAAATAATGGGCTCAGCTCTAAAAAACCTCTTTGATTTGGTCCATGAAGGAATACTCTTTCCTCTGAGCATATCTCTGTACCTCACACATACCCGGGAACATCATATGCACTGTATAAATGCATGCATGTGTGTGTGTGTGTGTGTGTGTATGTGTGTGTGTGTGTATCAAAATTATGCCGAGAAATCACAACATTTTTATTTAGATTTCAGCCACAATAGCCCACCTTTTAGGAAATTTTACACCAGCAATTGACTTGTAGTACCAGTACTCTAAAGAGGACTACAGGAAAATTGGACGTGTTTCTGCTATGGCAGCAAAAGCTATAAATATGTCTTATAAGTATTTAAAGCTTGTAGCTGCTCTTTTTTACATACCGGTATATTACATCTTTTACTGACATTCCCTTCTTGATAATACCCATTGGCCTGTTTGTTTGAAGTGGCATCCTTGCATTCATTTAAAGTCTGTTGTCTTGCCAAGACAAAATGTCTTTTATGTCTGTTTGTGCAGGATGCATTCTCCACTCAGATTCATTTTCCCGAGGGACTAGAATCTACTGAAAAGACTCATCTGTACCAGAACAGCCTGGAAAGAGGAAATGAGAAGGCCAGAGAACCTGCGGAAGCCAATCTATATTTCTTAGGACACAAACAATTGGGTCTATTGGCTGGCCTCCTTGTGCCACGCTCAATAATGATGCCCAGTTGACTGAGAAAATGACAAAATGCAGCATTGAGCCCTTCTTTTACATATTATTAATCCAGAGCAGGAAGTTAGCTATTTTAGCCACTGCAATTCTATTTCAGATTTAATAATCTTGACAATGGCCCCTCCAGCCAAATACTTATGTACTAACAAGAAAGGTACAAAGCAAAATTGTGACCTCCTCATCAATTCAGCTCTTGCAAAACACTCAGTCAGCTGCCTGAGATTTTGGTCTCCCCTATCAGCTGGAAAGGCCAGGAATAGAAGAGACAGGGCAGAGAGTGAAAACCCCCCTCCCTCCTCTTGGGATGGGCTTTCGGTTTGGTTTGGGGTTTGTGTGTGTGTGTGCGCGTGCATGCGCGCGCACCTGCCTGCCTGCCTTCAAATTAATCTTGACTCCTGGTGATTGCCTGGACAACCCCTGTAGTTTTCTTTGAAAGGTTTTGGACTAACTTGCCATCCCCTGCTTCTTTTTAGGGGTGAGAGATAATAAATGGCCCAAGGTCATGCTTAAAGTGGGACATTTGCTGGGAAGATATTATTATTATTATTATGGTGGATCACAGACTCAGTCAAATGTTTAGGCTGGGTTTGGGATTTTGGTCCACTTATCAAGCCCTTCCAAAGGACATGGGATAGGCAGATATTGTTGTTTAATAATATTAAAGGTATTGCTACAGATTACATCATTATGGTTTGTTGCGCAATCAGCCAGATGTTCAAACTGGATTTGGCACGTCTAGCTAGCAAATGGCAGATGTGGATATTTGATGGTATTATTATTTTGGCTCATTGCACAGTCAGCCAGATGTTCAGACTGAATTTGGCCAGATTCCGCTTATTGAGTCCTTCATAAGGATTTGAAATAGGCAGATGTGGCTATATTAAAGGTATCATCACAGGATGTAAGCTAATATTATTATGGTTATTATTGGTATGCAGATGGTCCCAGATTTAGTGCTACCTAACACACTACCTGCATTTAGTTGACTTTATTTGATCTCAAAGTTAAAGAGGATCAAACATGGTCAGTAACTGAGTGGGAGACTTTTGGGGAATCCCAGGATTCTAGCCTAAACTATTAAGTTAAAAGAGAAATCCTACCAATGGCAAATGGCAAATGACTTCTGTATTGTAGTAAAGGAAGCTACATGGTTGAATCGCTACATCACCAACAAATGAGCTTCCCTCAAGGGAGATGAGATTTTGTTGTTGTTAGTTGCAAAGTCGTGTCCGACCTATTGCGACCCCATGGACAACGTTCCTCCAGGCCTTCCTGTCCTTTACCATCTTCTGGAGTTCATTTAAGCACACGCCTACTGCTTCAGTGACTCCATCCAGCCACCTCATTCTCTGTCATCCCCTAGATGAGATTTAGCTATTAAAAAAATAGGGGTTCCATTATTTCATTTTTCCATTATTCAACAGATTTATATCTGGTAAAAAAAACAATATGGAATTAGTATGGGTGAAAGTGAAAGTTGCCAACATAAATCTGAATAAGATAGGAATTTTGTGGTGACTGTACAACTATCATCTCATCTGGAAGGACTCTACATCTGCTAATATCTACCCAGTAGTAGTGCAATGTAGAAAAGTGGCCTTTGGCCTCTGATAGGAAGCACGTTTTCCCATGCTGTCAGTTAATCTGGCCTTCTGTTTTATATGCTTTCATGGGTTTACAGATTTGCTGTTTCCTTTATGAAGCGCATGAATCCACAGTGTTTGTGCATGGTCTATCTACTTCTACTTCTGCACTTCTTTTGCATTTCTAATATATTAATCATACGGTATATATACTATGAGAACCTTGAAATATTTGATACTGGGATGAAATTCCTTGTCAGTGAAAACTGGGTAGAGAGGTGGCAGAAGATGAAAGAATAATAAGCTGAGTTTTACTGCTATTATTTGCACTACATCTAGACAAACAGTGTTTGATGGCACATCAGCACACACACACATACTGTATGCACAATAGCCTGGCTTCTGTGTGCTTCTCTTTGTATATCATGCATTGCTGAGCACTAACTTGAATCCAGATGGATTCCTTGGTGCAAGATGTGCTGAAGATGGAGTCAAATGCACACAGGCCAATTCCAAGAAAAACACTTATTTTAAAAAAGAAATCCACAAGAACACTTGGTTTTCTTCCCCTGTCCCAGCTCTGCTCTTTCTTTTTTTTCTGAAGTCAGTTTATGGTTGAGGTTTATTAGAAATAGCATTTACATACTCATGCTTGCACCCTCAACACTGGTCTGAATGAAGATGATCTCATCCTGAATAAACACAGCAAAGGACAGGCAGGAAGTTGCTAATGTAGGGTAAATTGGTATATAACCTTCTGAAATCTTGTTCAAGCAATAGAGATAAGAAAGCAAACAAGATAGAGATTCTGTAAAAGCACAAGTGTGCTTCGAGTTTTCCAGAATAAGCACAAGGCAAAATGCCACGTTATGAAATCACTTATCAGGAATCGATGCCCAAGGAGGCAGCTTGGTCTCCAGTGCTCCAGAGGCCAAATGGGAGTCACTTTTTGGAAAATTTGGCTAAGTATCCTTAATTTTTGACTGTCCCCTTCTGGATCTCCTGCACAGGTCTGGACTTGCTAACATCCTGTGCTCAGTCTGGGATCTAAAAATGTACCCAATAAATTCTTCATGTCTTTCAGAGCTAGTTTTTTTTAAAAGTCATTCATTTCCATCCATAGTATAGGCCTTTTCCTACTCGCTAAAATGTCATGCGAGGAGGGGGGGAGAGTGCAATGCAGCTAAAATCATGCTTTTGCAAGCACTTTGAATTTCAAAATTAGGTTCCAGCAGCAGCCTAATGAAAGCACTTATGATGAAGTGCTTAGATATTAAGCGTATTAAGAGATATGTCTCTCTTCTAGCAGTTCTTCAAACTGGTGCCCTCCAATTGTCTGGGGCTTTGACTCCCAGAATTCCCAGGTAGTATGATCATGGACTGAGCTGGCCTGAAATCATCCTATTCCTATTGCCCTTATTCTTCTATCAATGACTCATTATCTTGACTGCCTGATAACCAGATTTCCAAAGCAATCCAGCAGCTTTGTAATTTTCCTCAAGCAAAACCAAGTACAGGTAGTTCTCAACTTACAATTCGTTTAGTGACCTTTCAAAGTTACAATGGCACTGAAAAATGTGACTTATGACCGTTTTTCACACTTACAACCATTGCAGCATCCCCATGTAATCAATATTCAAATGCTTGGCAACTGGTTTATATTTATGATGGTTATGGTATCACAGGATCATGTGATCACCTTTTGCGACCTTCTGACAAGCAAAGTCAGTGGGGAAGCCAGATTCACTTAGCAACCGGGTTGCTAACTTAACAATTGCAGTGATTCACTTAATAACTGTGGCAACAAAAGTCGTAAAATGGGACAAAACTCACTTAACAAATATCTCACTTAGCAACATAAATGCTGGGCTCCATTGTAGTCATACGTCAAGGACTATCGGTAATAGGAATTCCAGCTAGCAAACAGGCTTGGGTGAAAGAGTTTCCCATGTGACTTTTCCACAAATAAGAGGAGTTGCACTGCCATGATGACAAATGCCAAAAATGCACAGAAAACCACTTCAAGTCTCCACTCTGAAGCAACAGATCTATCTTGACGCCATTATGCCATTACAGAATGCATGTGTGAATCAATCCTGTGAATGGATGCACCCGATAAGAAAGGAAAGTAATTTCATGACAACGGAAGGGAAGATGTCTGCATTGACAACTGTACATCCATCAGCTAGACAGGGCACATGAGGATGAGAGAAAAACCACTTGTATAAACACTGGGTGCATTTAATAGGGAAAGCCTCTCATCATCTCCATGCTCATAAGGACAGAAATCTCAGCTGCATGTATGTTTAAATACTATGAAATAGAGAAAGGCAATGAATTATATTGGTAGGATCCATTTGGAGCATTGAGTCCAGTCCCCTGGCCTAGGGGAAAAGGAGTCAAAAAAGTCAGGCTGGCAGCCACAATTATGCAAGCGTTATCTGTATGTATCTGTGTGTGCCTGTGTCTGTGTATCTTTGTGTGTAGATGTGGATGCTATCTTGACTTTTTCCTTTTTTCCATTGACACCCCCACACTGGTCAGGATAGGCATCTCAATTAAAACATCCTTAAAAGATCAGAGCTTCTGTTTGAATATATCCATTTTCTGGATAACTGATTCCATTTCTAAAAAACCAATGGGAATTTGCCATTGTGGAATGTAAGACCATATTCTTTCAAGTCTTCCCTCTGGAACCATAGAGAATTTTTCCAGTATGATATTTTTTCAGAGGTATAAGAGGGCTTTTTTTTATGGCCCCTTCCATTCCCCCTCCACATACCTGAATTTCAGAGACAGCAACTTCAGCCTTTTTTGAAGCTGCCCCAAATAGGCCCAGCTTTAGGATGAAAGGTACAACTTGGTGCTCTAGGATTGCATACTAGTCTAAAAAGATTTTTTTTAAAAAAAAAAAATAAGGAATGAACCCCAGAGTTCCTTCAACTGTAGCCAAGGAATTTTAGTGCTCCAAGTGACAGAAGAAGAACATTATTAACCTGGGGAGTAATAATATTAACTGGATTTATTTATTTTTTTATAAAAAGTCCTACATTAACATTAGTTTTGTTTGTTCCTGCCCATTTTTTGGGTCTGTGTTTTTCTATGACTGAGAAAATCCAAACCCCTAAGTTTGAAGGGCTGGCTTTTGTGGTCATAAGACCATAAGAAAAATCCTGCTGCCGGTTAATTCAGCCTTTGGTTTTCAAAAATGGCCAGCTATTCTGGCCATTTGCAAACTAGGAGCACACACACATAAAGGCATTTTATTTTCATAGCTGTTAGGTGATGACAGCCTTTGAATTTGTTAATATTTCCCAACAATCACCTGATTTAGTGTTCAGTTCTGGTTTTATACGTATGAATTTATTTCTTCTACTTCTGTTTCTAACCTGAAGCTCCCAGAAGTCTGGCCAATATTTCCCATAGCTGGGAATTCCGGAAACTGAACTGTAATTCAACACATCTTGATAAAATTCCAATTTGCGGAAAGATTCCCTAGCACATCAGGGAGGGAGTGAAGGAGGGAGGGAGGGAGAGAGGGAGGGAGGGAGGGAGGGAGGGAGGGAGGAACGAAGGAAAAAAACCCATTAGGTATCACTATTGAATTATAATTTTCTCTCTCTTTTCCCCTGGAAGTAATTTCAAGCCCACACATTCTTAAAAAAATGCATGTTTGCTAACTAATGCTAGAAATGAATTTATTGTAAATGAGTTATTAAACTTGGACATCCTGATGAAAAAATATTTACAGAGGAAACTCCTTAAATGGTTATGTGCCAATGGAATAACTCTAGTTACAGAGTACACTTCTTGGTGCAGACTGTGTAAATAAACTTGGGTAGTATCCTTACTTTCCACAGCCTATTAAGCTAATGCAATTATATTTGTATAAAGCTAGGAAAGGATTCAGAATAGCCTTGGTTCTGTCTTCAGAAACTGGGCTCGGCAAGTTGAGGTCCCTGATCTGCACAAGGTCCTCGAGCCTTCCTTTTGCAACCCAGTCAGGCTAAACCATGCCCGATGCACACATTTTCAAGCAATCAGAAGTTCAGAGGATAACACCTATTTATTATCAATCTTGGCAAATAATGTAGCCCTCACTGCACTGCTTCAACAATAGTATGTATTAACAGTGGTTCATAATCCTTCCTAATTTTTTTCTTTCTTTCAAACTGTAGTTCAGTTACTGCTCAGCACAGAATATTTTGGTGCTGTGTACATAAAAGGCATTGGATCTGGACTATACTTGGCTATGGATGTCAATGGACGCTTACATGGCTCGGTAAGTATAAACTCCCCCTGATATTAACTATAAGGAAGCTTTGAGGATGGCAAAAATCCTGTAGCTTGGAGAGCTTGGAATCAAAAATCATTCACACATGCACAATTAAATGTCACTTGTTTTGCTGCTGGGTTCATGTTTTTTGGCCAATGTATATTTCTGGAAAAAGAAACTGAAATATCTGAAAACATTCTTAAACATTTTAGCTATTAGAAGGTGGCAGTGTTCCTCCAGATAAGATGAAACCATTAGAAAGAACTGAGACAGATTTAAATCTAAACAAAAACAGAATCATCCAGTAATCTGGTTTGCTGAGTTTTGCTGATCTATGACCATAATAAAAAAATTTGAAGACTTGCAAGATAAATGGAAAGTACCTTGCTAAGCAGCAAGGATCTGGAGCAAGAGGGTTAATTTTATCACTTGCCAAAAGGCAACAGATACTCAGACTTTCCCACCTTCTAAAATTGGACCAGAAAGAGTCAAACTCTTTCACAATCCAAACACAATCATGATGGTCCTTCAGTGCCATAAACGGTTTTGGTCATTGTATTTGCTTCCCTTCTGAATGCTACCAAACTCTTTTTCTTTAGCAGTTGCCAACAGCAGAGTGTGTGTTCCTGGAAAAGTTGGAAGAAAACAATTACAATACTTACAAGTCAAAGATGCATGCAGATAAGAACTGGTATGTTGCCTTGAAGAAGAATGGAAACAGCAAATTGGGACCGAAGACTACCTATGGCCAGAATGCAATTCTTTTCCTTCCTCTGCCAGTGTCACCTGATTAGGTTGCTTCTGCCCCACCCTTAGAAAAGTTGCCCTTTAAAATTAAGCAGCCAGTGAACTTTCCCCTTTTGTCCCTTTTGGTTTGTTCTCATACTGGAAATTAAAAAAAGATGGACCACAAAGTACTTGAGATAGAAAATATACACTGCATCTCTAAAATGTCCATTCAGCCTCAACAATTCCATTGGCATGCTATAGCATTACCTACAAATGAATCAATTATCAGCCCTAGAAAAGCATTTAACTTAGTGTATAGTTCCCATAACCATATACAGCCTATAATACAGCTTCCCACTTTGAAAGTGCATATTTAGGTCACAGCCCATTTCAAGGTTATATAAAACAGCTTTTAAGAATACTTGTGTATCACACAGAAGCAAAATCAATACTTATACTATACAACCATTTAAAACAAATAGACTGTGTGCCAAGGGCAAAGAAATGTGTGTGTGTGTGTGTGTGTGTGTGTGTGTGTGTGTGTGTGTGTGTTTTCGTAGATTTTCACGGGTACAGGTGTGCAGGTCTTGGCGTATTCGGGTCTTTTCCCGTGTAAGATAGAGAGTATCTTGGCGACGTTTCAATGAGGTCCCACTCGTCATCTTCAGGCTGGGATCTTCGGCTTCGTGCTTGTGCAAGCAAAGTGTGATTGGAGCTGCCGTCTCTCTATAAATATTGGTGGGGGTGTGTGGAGTGCTGGCTTAGTTGCTGTAGGTGAGTTGGTTGGCTATGTGGGAATCCACAAACAATAACTCCCACACAGCCAACCAACCCACCTACAGCAACTAAGCCAGCACTCCACACACCCCCACCAATATTTATAGAGAGACGGCAGCTCCGATCACACTTTGCTTGCACAAGCACGAAGCTGAAGACCCCAGCCTGAAGATGACGAGTGGGACCTCGTTCAAACGTCGCCAAGATACTCTCAATCTTACACGGACAAAGACCCGAATACGCCAAGACCTGCATATATATATATATATATATATATATATATATATATATATATATATATATA